GTTACTCACGCCTTATGTTACTCACGCCTTATGTTACTCACGCCTTACGTTACTCACGCCTTATGTTACTCACGCCTTGTGTTACTCACGCCTTACGTTACTCACGCCTTATGTTACTCACGCCTTGTGTTACTCACGCCTTATTACTCACGCCTTGTTACTCACGCCTTGTTACTCACGCCTTGTTACTCACGCCTTGTTACTCACGCCTTGTGTTACTCACGCCTTGTTACTCACGCCTTGTGTTACTCACGCCTTGTGTTACTCACGCCTCGTTCAGATCTTCAAGATCCTACAAGCACCGTTCACAGAAGTGGAGGGGGAGGCGCCCATGCTGCGTATAGAGGACCTCAACTCCCCCAGACACGCCGCCTACAAGAACATCTTCAGGCTCTGCTACAGGCTCCTCAGGCTCGCTCAGCACGACTACCGCAAGAATCAGGTTACAAGTGTTCTAAATTTAGACTAATTACTCAACATTTCAATTTTTTACTAATATGTAACTCATCATTTATTTAGCCTTAGTCTAAGTACTCAAAATTTTTAGTCTTTACTAATTACTCGTTATTTTGGCCTTACACTAATTACTCAACATTTTAGCCTTAGACTAAGAACTGAACATTTTGGCCTTAGACTAATTACTCAACATTTTAGCCTTAAAGGCTAATTATCCAACATTTTAACCTTTGACTAATTACTCAACATTTTGTTCTTAGACTAATTACTCAACATTTTAGCCTTAAAGGCTAATTACTAAACATTTTAGCCTTAGACTAATTACTGAACATTTTAGCCTTAGACTAATTACTCAACATTTTAGCCTTAGACTAATTACTCCACATTTTGGCCTTAGACTAATTACTCCACATTTTGGCCTTAGACTAATTACTCCACATTTTGGCCTTAGACTAATTACTCCACATTATGTGAACGTTGGTCAGGGGAAATCTCTTGTTATCTTTCATAATTAATTTTTATCCGCTATAATTTTCAATAATATGAACTACTTCGTTTGACGTTAGGTATGAATTAGCTTCACCTTCACTACTGCACGTGCTAAATACCCGGCGTAGTATGTGTTACGAATTATTTAAGACATTAAAACGCAACTTTTATTTGGTTCAGGAATAATTAAATACGCGTAGCATCCATGCAGAGGTGTACTTTTATTTTTCTTTCGATGCGATATTGAATGGTAATTAAGTAAGACCTGAGGGTTGGTCCGGTTGTAGCGTGATTCGAGGGTATTGAGGAACAGCGTAAATGATTATATAGTTTTATTTATGATTAAAGTTCGGCTTACAGCTTCGGATGAAATAGAGTTATTGGCTGGAGCTTTAACAATGATGTCTTCGGCGTCCAGCTGAAATAAGAGTAAGTCTAGAGAATATCCGAATGTTCTCTACTGTGACGTTGAGTTGCGTTACTCTGTTTGACATGGACAGGAGCAATGGGGTATACCGACAGCGGTCCTCGCCCAAGACTGAAGTTAATCGCTTGAGACAAAGCTTATATAGCTTCGCTATTTGACGTCACCAAGGGCGTGACTTATTAAACAGGGAAGGCTAACACGAAGATATGTTTATTAACATATCGCAATGATGGAGATTATCTTTCAACAAGGAAGATATCAATGAAGAAATATCCCGGCACGAATGGTATCAACATTGTCACTTTACAAATACTTTTACTCGAAAATGTATAATCTTAACATATATTTATGTGAGCAGGAATACATAGCGAAGAAGTTTGGGTTCATGCAGAAGCAGATCGGCTACGACATCTTGGCAGAGGACACCATCACGGCGCTGCTGCACAACAACCAGAAGCTCCTCAACGAGCACATCACCGCCAACGAGATAGAAACTTTCGTGGGACTCGTCAGGAAGAACATGGCGCAGTGGCAGTGGCGCTTCCTCGACTATCTTAAGGTAAGGTTATCTTAGGTTCCTTCACTATCTTAAGGTAAGGTTAGGTTAGGTTCCTTGACTGTCTTAAGGTTAGGTTAGGTTCCTCGACTATCTTAAGGTAAGGTTAGGTTTAGCTTAGGTTAGGGTCCTTGACTATCTTGAGGTTAGGTTAGGTTAGGTTCGGTTCCTTGATTATCTTAAGGTCTGGATGATGTAAACTGCTGCTGGATCGATCATTTTGTCCTCAGAATTTATGTAGGATAAGAATTCTGAGTTAATGGTTTATTTGTTACTGCATAAATGGCCTTCATCTTGGCGAATGAAATGATTTTGATGTATATGGATAATTCTGCTACCTCCTGACAGACTCTGAGTTTATATTGTATGTGTAATGTTATGGAATATTCCCGTATGTTATCGTACAACGGAACGTGCATAAAATATATTATGTAGAGTAAAATATACGAAATATATTTATTTGTTACGATGTTTTTTGCAGGTTTTGTGCATCTCAAACAATGTGGCCATTGCCCGCACTCAGGAGCTCATATGCAAGAGCGTTCTTTGTGAGGCTAACAGCGACATCTTGCTGGACACTAGGTAAGGGGCTATTCCTAGTGCACTAGGTCTAATCGAAGGACTTCTAAATTAGCTCTTACTTGCGCTCTTGTTCTAGTTCGAGGACTTTTATAAGCTATTCCTTGCGCCCTAGTTTTAGTTGAAAGACTTCTATAGGCTCTTCCTAGTGCACTAGTTCTGGTCGGAGAACTTCTAAATGCTATTACTGTAGACTAGTTCTAGTTGAAGGACTTGTAAAAAGTTTTGTGTAAAAGATGTCAACAAGAAGGGGTAGTAAAAGTGACTGGACATATGAGGTGCTGTACCGCAATAGCGCCTAAAAAATCATATGTCCTAAACATCATGATCATCTACTAAACTAAACTACTACTAAACATGATCATCTAGACCTTTGCACAGAAATTTTCGATAAACTGTCGCTATCAAATTATCAAGTCAAGATCTTCGGTCAACGTGATGGTATTGCGCAGAGATACGCTGAAATGATTATTTTGTGGATATGATGGATGGTTTAGAGGCGAACATTTCTAGGTTCTTATTGAAGATCATTCGATTTGTCGATCTATGCTGAATATAATTCAATTACACTAATCATTAAGGAGTTGATTTCGAATGAAAAATTATCTCTTATTCTTGGAATGTAAGCCATGCCGTTCATCGTTATAGTGCCTCGATGGTCCAATTATATAAACGTACCGTCCTTCCTGATATTGCTTAATATTTTATATAATCTTATTATCGCCATATCATTCTTGATGTAGAGTGTAAGGTGATTATCACCCAACAGGTTGGTGGTGAGTGAGCCAGAGATTCTTGATGAAGACGGAGAGCCTCTGGAGCGCGAGACTGCCGTCGTCCTGTCGTGGCACTCTGGCGAGGTAACTGCCAGATATCAATAAATACATTATAATTTGTATTTTTGGGGTTTGCACTCTGCAGCTCTTTAAATATTAAGATAATACTTACAACCTCCACTGAATAGATAATACTTTTAAACCTCCACTGAATTGATAAAACTTTTAAACTTCTGCTGAATAGATAAGACTTTTAAACCTCGGCTGGATAGATGATACTTTTAAATCTCAACTTTATAGTGAATACAGTTTTAAACATCCAATGATTAGATAATAATTTTAAAGCTCAATTGGATAGAGAATACTTCTAAACATCCAATGAATAGATAGTAATTTTAAACCTCCACTGGATAGTGAATACTTTTAAATATCCAATGAATAGATAATAATTTTAATCCTCCACTGTATAGATACGATTTTTAAACCTACACTGAATAGATAAGACTTTTAAACCTTGGTGGATAGTGAATACTTCTACATATCCAACGAATAGATAATACTTTTAGACATCCGCTGGATAGATATTAGTTTTAAACCTTCACAGGGATAGTTAATAACTTTAATCCTCCACTGGATATTTATCTCTCTGGGATTGGTGAGCTACAAACGTCCAGCCACTATCTAGAATATCATTATAGTGGCTTGAGCTTTAATGCTCGTTAGAATATTTTTAATAATCCACAGGAAAATTTTTTCACGAGACTTTTGTCTAATTTCTTCATCGTGTCATTTAAGTATCAAAGCATTAGATCATCTTCGGAGTTTATAATTCTTCTTTTTTAATGAAAATGACGTCAACGTTTCCATATTTCATTGAGTATTTGACTTTAGTTTCATTAAAAACTCGAAGTTTTTTTAGAATTTTATTTATACTGAGAAAGACACGTATTTTTCGTTGGTTGTCAGGGCCCCCAGAGCATCGTGGAGATGTTAGAATATTATTCTTACTGAGAAAGACACATATTTTCTTGGTTGTCAGGGCCCCCAGAGCATCGTGGAGATGTTAGAATATTATTCTTACTGAGAAAGACACATATTTTCTTGGTTGTCAGGGCCCACAGAGCATCGTGGAGATGTTAGAATATTATTCTTACTGAGAAAGACACATATTTTCTTGGTTGTCAGGGCCCACAGAGCATCGTGGAGATGGCGCTGCGTGCGAGGAACGCCGTAGACAAGGAGCAGAGCGAGGACGCGCTGGTGCTGCAGTACTACCGGCACCAGCTCGACCTGTTCTCCCACATGTGCTTGGGGCGCCAGTACCTTGCCATCGACCCTCTCTCTCCCAAACTTGGCATCGAACTCATGCTCAAGTCAGAAATGTTCCTAATTGGTCCTAGATTTTGTAATAAACAATCTAATATTAAAATAATTTGCCCAAACTTGGCATCGAACTCATGCTCAAGTCAGATATAGTCATTTTTGGCACCTGATTTTATAGTATAGACAATCTATTATTAAAATTATAGCTTCATTTGACTTGGCATCGAACTAATGCTCAAGTTAAATTTGTTCCTTTTTGGCAACAATTAGAATTCCCCTAACAATTTAATAGAATTATAGATTCTTTTGACTTGGTATCGAATTCATGCTCAAGGGAGATATGTTCCTAATTGGCCATATACTCTGTAATATAGACAATCTAATATTAAAATTGTCGATTCTTTTAACTCATGCTTAAGTGAGATATGTGCCTTTTTGGCCCTAGATTTTGTATTAACAGCAATTCTTTATTAAAATTATAGATTCTTTCGACTTAAAAATCATGCTTAAGTAAGCTATGTTCCATTTTGGCCCCTGATTTTACAGTATAAAGAATCTAATATTAAAACTGTTTATTCTTTTAACTAGGCATCAAACTCATGCTTAAGTCAGATATGTTCCTTTTTGGCCCCAGATTTTGTAATGTAGACCATCTATTGTTAAAATTGTTGATTCTTTTTTGAGTCGGCGTAGAACTCATGCTTAAGTAAGATATGTTCATTTTTGGGCCCAGATTATATATAGATAATCTATTATTAAAATTAGAGATTCTTCTGACTCGGCTTCGAACGTTACTCATGCAGAAGATTGGTAGGCGTTTGAAATTATATGATATGTGATATGTCTACTACGGTATATATTATTTTATGATATGTGATAAGTCAATATATAATTTTATGATATGTAGCGTTTGAAATTGTATCCAATGACTTTCCAACCTTCATCCAGTCGGGATCATTGTCGTGTTGAGTTAAATTCCACTGAATGTTTATTTTCAGTCTTCAGTGGAATGATTTTTATTTATAATATAATTATATTTCTTTTGAATTCCTATAACGTGGCATTGCTGAAGTAGTGCTATATTTTATCATAGCGTTATATAAAATATTATATAATATAATTACGTATATAATATGATATGTATGTTTTCACTGTACAGGTGCATATTTTATGATGGCGTTATATCAAATATTATATTATATAATTATATAGTATATTGTCACTGTATAGGTGAATATTTTATCATGACGTTATATAGAATAATATATAATATAATTATATAATATGTTGTGACTGTACAGGTGCATATTTTATAATAGCGTTTTATAAAATATTATATAATATACTAATATGTTGTGACTGTACAGTGCATAATATGTTGTGACTGTACAGGTGCATATTTTATAATAGCGTTTTATAAAATATTATATAATATACTAATATGTTGTGACTGTACAGTGCATATTTTATAATAGCGTTGTATAAAATATAATACAATATAATATGTTGTGACTATACAGATGCATTTTTATAATAGCGTTGTATAAAATATTAAATAATGTAATAGGTTGTGACTTTACAGGTGCATTTTTTATAATAGCGTTGTATAAAATATTATATAATATGTTGTGACTGTACGGGTGCATTTTTTATAATAGCATTATATAAAATGTTATATAATGTACCTAATAGGTTGTGACTGTACAGGTGCATTTTTTATAATAGCGTTATATAAAATATTATATAAAAAATTATATAATATGTTGACTGCACAGATGCATGGAGGACGAGACGTTGTCATTCGAGCTGCGCGCGTCGTTCTGTCGCCTGATGCTGCACATGCACATAGACAGAGAGCCGCAGGAGAAGGTCACGCCTGTCAAGTATGCCCGTCTCTGGTCAGAGATCAAGCCAGAGATATCCATCGTCGAGTAAGTCATTATATGCTCTCTTTATTATTTTATCCATGCAATTTAGGTTCATGGGGAAGATATATGATATGATTTTGTTATAAATTCTACTATATACTGCCATGTAATACTACTATTTTACATTGGAGCTTATTTTTACAGGCGAGTTCGCAATGTGGGGTTCACAAGCCATTGCTGTTTTTACAGGTTTCTTTCTTTCGGGCTCTTTTATAGCGGTTGCTATTTCTTCTAAATGCGATTTCTTCTAAAAAAGCTTTTCTCTTATTGCTGCTATTTCAGGTGAACTGACGACCCGGTAATTTATTCCTGGAGATTTAGTCATTGTTATGCAGTATTCATTATGCAGTATGGAGCTGTAAATGGGGTAAAATAGAGGCAGTCCCAGATTATGTATTTTCTCTCATAGTTGTTAATGATCAGTGATGATTCATATCATGTTTTATGATTGCATTAATTAAAGCTAAATTTCATGCATATTTAATTCCATCACAGACAGACCCTGTTACTCATGCAGAATCCTATGTGGTTGCCTCAGTACCTCTTAAAATGGAGTTAGAATATTTTAACAATATGGAAGCAAACTGTAATTTATTATTTCAGTTAATGATTGCACTATTCCTTTCTTGTACCTGACAAATGACTGCCTCTTTCTATGTACTTAACGCATGTAAATAGCATTGCTATTTTACAGATGCTGGCAGAAGGTGTCATACTGAATTAATCGTACGTCGGTCATTGCGTGCTCTGTTATCGTACCTTTAAGTGTGTCACTTATAGTCACTTGTTGTTGTTATCGTACCTTGAAGCGTGTCACTTATAGTCACTTGCAGTTGTTATCGTACCTTGAAGCGTGTCACTTATAGTCACTTGTTGTTATCGTACCTTGAAGCGTGTCACTTACAGTCACTTGTTGTTGTTATCGTACCTTGAAGCGTGTCACTTACAGTCACTTGCAGTTGTTATCGTACCTTGAAGCGTGTCACTTAATCACTTGTTGTTATCGTACCTTGAAGTGTGTCACTTATAGTCACTTGTTGTTATCGTACCTTGAAGTGTGTCACTTATAGTCACTTGTTGTTATCATACCTTGAAGTGTGTCACTTACAGTCACTTGCAGTTGTTATCGTACCTTGAAGCGTGTCACTTACAGCCACATGCAGTTGTTACCGTACCTTGAAGTGTGTCACTTACAGTCACTTTCAGTTGTTGGATCACTTCACAAAATTGTTATTTGTGAAGTGAAGTTGGAGTGTGGTGCTAAAATATCTGCGTGGTTCACATAACGTCTTTACAACTTCTCTTACTAAAAAGTTTTCCCGTGTGTATAGCTACCGCCTCAAGAAAATGTAGGTAGTAGTGCCGATTTGATTAAATTCGTGAAGTTTGCCCAGACTAATTCTTTGCGTGGAATTCCATCTGAAATTCGTGAAGTTTTACCAGTTTTAGACTAATTCATTGCGTGGAATGACATCTGAAATTCATGAAGTTTGCCCAGTTTTAAGACCAATTCATTGCGTAGAATGTCATCTGAAACACAACGAGCTTGCGTCTTAACTGCTGTGTAAGGCTGCGATGTTATTTTATTAGCAAGGATAGTATAAAGCTCACTGTTCAATGAGATTTCAATGAGTAAAGTAACGCAATAAGGTGGCGTTTACTAACGCAGTAATGTGACGTAATTACACTAACGCAGTGATGTGACGTAAACTAAAGCAGTGACGTAAACTAACGCAATGACGTAATGAAACGCAGTGACATAAACAAACGCAGTGACGTAAACTAAAGCAGTGACGTAAACTAAAGCAGTGACGTAAACTAACGCAGTGACGTAAACTAACGCAGTGCTGTGACGCAGTTTGCAGGAGCCGCTGTCCGTGGTGTACGCGAGCTGCAGGAAGCGGCCTCGGCCAGGGTATTGCATTATTATCTATGTTATCGACAATTTAATTTTTTTTCTTATCATTATACTTGTCAGTACTCATTTATTTTAGGATCACGTTCAAAGTTATATTTTTTTAAATTGTGTGTTTTTTTAATACACAGATGCATGTTGTAGTTTGTTGGATGCAGTTGTCAACATCATCGTTAACAACTTGATTCTGCCTCATGATTTTAATTTCCATTGCAAATTTCTTTTGTGTTAGTAGGTATTAGTTTGTTGCTGCCTGCAATTGTACAGATTTACTTCAGGCTTAAAGTTCTAACCCACCAGGCAAACGATGTTGAAATGAACGTTGTTTGGTTGAATCAACGCTGAAATGAATGTGGTTTGGTTGAATCAACGTTGAAATGAACGTTGTTTGGTTGAATCAACGTTGAAATGAACGTTGTTTGGTTGAATCAACGTTGAAATGAACGTTGTTTGGTTGAATCAACGTCGAAATGAACGTTGTTTGGTTTAATCAACGTTGGAATGAACGATGTTTGGTTGAATCAACGTTGAAATAAACTTTTTTTGTTGAATCAACGTCGAAATGAACGATGTTTGATTGAATCAACGTCGAAATAAACGTTGTTTGGCTGAATCAACGTCGAAATGAACGTTGTTTGGTTGAATTAACGTTGAAATGAACGTTGTTTGGTTGAATTAACGTTGAAATTAACGTTTTTGGTTGAATCAACGTTGAAATGAATGTTGTTTGGTTGAATAAACTTTGAAACGTATTTGCTTGGCTGAATCAACGTTCAAATAAACGTTGTTTGGTTGATTTAACGTTGAAATGAACGTTTTTGGTTGGATAAACTTTGAAACAAATGTTGTTCAGCGTCGTTTGCCTGGGATTGGAATAGTCTCGTTACGTTTAGTGGCTGATATTTTTTCGTTCCGCCCGCGGGTTTCGGAACTTGACTTATATTAACTTTATTTAATGTTTTCAATATGCTGATTCTCCTGTAATTAGTTCGTTGTTGTTTTGCTTAGAACAGAACCTGGTTTACTGATTTGCGTAGAGCAGAACCACTTACCTGATTTTTTTCGCATTTGTGTGTTATAGACTACTTTTTTCCTAGTGATTTTATATGAAAAGAAATTATTGAGATAGAGTGGAATTTTCATTTTATTCGTGCATGCATGGCATCCTAGCAGTTTTATTCCATGTACGGTACTTATTTTACATGTTATTTAGTGAAATGTATATTTTACTTCAATTAATTGACAATGCCTAGTTCATGTTTTTCGTACTTAGATTTTTGAATTAACCAAATAAAGTTATTAAATAATTATAATTGGAAGATCTTATGTCATGCTGATTTTAAGGACCATCTCGTTATTATTCGCTAAAATATTGTTTTGAGCGATCGTGCATGCTTGTTGACCTCTCAGACAAAACAAACCTTATTTTGAGATAACTTATTGAAACATTTGTGTTTAATAGCATTGAGGTGTTAGCTCTTCTGTGATGATGGCAGTGATGGCGTTAACGTCTTGTGTGATGATGGCAGTGATGGCGTTAACATCTCATGTGATGATGGCAGTGATGGCGTTAACGTCTTGTGTGATGATGGCAGTGATGGCGTTAACATCTCATGTGATGATGGCAGTGATGGCGTTAACGTCTCATGTGATGATGGCAGTGATGGCGTTAACATCTCATGTGATGATGGCAGTGA